TCAGAAAAAAAGATCAAGACAAAATGAAGAAAGCCTAAGGTTCATCTGGGATACCATCAAAAGGAGTAACGTACATGTAATCAGAATTCCAGAACAGGAAGAGACAAATAAAACCACAGAAAAAATTAAAATTGTCAAAGATTTGTTGGAAGAGAATTTTCCTGGTATGATGAAAGATAAAAACATACCCATTCAGGACATCCAATGAACCCCAAAGAGGATAGACCCCAAAAGAAAATCACCCAGACATATCATCATCAAACTTAAAAACCAAAGGCGAAGAAAGAATCATGAGAGCAGCACAGGAAAAACAAAAAGTTACCTACAAGGGGCAACCAATAAGACTAAGCTCGGATTTCTCAACCATGCAGGCGAGAAGACAATGGGATGGTATATATAAAACCCTGAAAGTGAAAAATCTCCAACCAAGAATTATGTAACCAGCAAAATTGTCCCTCAAATATGATGGTGAAATTAGGACATTTCCAAATAAGCAGAAATTAAGGGAATTTGTTCAAACCAGACCAACCTTACAAGAGATGCTAAAGGGAATCCTTTGGACAGAGAAGCAGCAACAGCCAACAACAACTGACAATTAACACACGTGATGATATAACCCAGAAACCAACCCAGCTATGGATGTATCCAAAGTAAAGAAGCCTACAAGTTTGTAAACAGGAAACCAGAGACGTCAATTAACTAATGAGAACAACTACAAACCAAAAAGAGGGAAAAAACTATGCTGTTACAGAACTTCTAGATGGTAGGGAAGTTAAGACAACTGCAAGATAGAACGGACTGTTCTAAACTTGGAAATAAAACTATAAATCACAGGGTAACCTAAAAGAAAAATAAACCTCCACATCAAAAAAGAGGACCAGCATAAATATTCAGCAAATACTTAAACAATAGCAATGAAGGAAATGATGATACAATTCATAAACAAAACGAGCTCAGCATAGAGAATTATATGGAACAAAGAAATCGACACCACAAAAAAGCGCATAACAAAAATGACAGGAACAAATTCATTTTTGCTGCTAATTTCGTCTCTGTCAAGGGACTTACTTCTAAGATTTATAGAGGAAGAGTGGATGACCAAACTATGGTACATACACATAATGGAATGCTATGCAACACTAAAGAATAATGTAGAGTCTGCAAAACACCACATAATATGGATAAACTTAAAGGACATTATGCTGAGTGAAATAAGTCAGTCACAGAAGGACAAATATAGCATTGCTTCATTGTTGTGGAGGTCAAGGAAAGGTTTATATATGGAGGGGAACTTACTTTGTTGGTTGCCAGAAGTGGGAGGGGAGGGGAAGGAACACTGCAAAAAAAAAAAAAACATTGACCCATGTTGCTTTAGTTTTGTGTATTTCACTGTACATAAATTATGTTTCAGTAAAATGCATTAAAAAAAAGAGAGTCCCAATCTCTCCACATCCTCGCCAGCGTTTGTTATTTTCGGTCTTGTTGAACTTTGCTATTAATGCTAGGGTGAAGTGGTATTCATTGTTGTTTTAATTTGCATTTCTCTAATGGCTAATGATAGTGAACATTTCTTCATTTGTTTGTTGCTGCCTGAATATCTTCTTTGGTGAAATGTCTGTTCATATTTTCTGCTCCTTTTTTAATTGGATTGTTGTCTTTTTGATGTTGAGGTGGTGGAGTTTTCTATAAATTTTAGAGATAAGTCCTTTGTCCAGTATGTCATTGCTGAATATTTTTCCCATTCTGTAGGTTCTCTTTTTTACCCTTTTGGAGAAGTCTTTTGATGCACATAAGTAAGAATTTAATTTTTAGACGGTCCCAATCATATAGTTATGCCTGAAGCACTTGACTACTAACCAGAAGGCTGGCGGTTCAAACCCACCAGCCACTTGTTGGAAGGAAGGTTGAGCAAACTACTTCTGTAGTGATATCACCTCAGAAACCCAAGGAGGGGCCCCTATGAGTCGGGTCCAAGTCTACAGCACCTAACAACAACAATCATCTAGTTTATCTTCTGCTTTTTGTGCATCTTGGGTTATGCTTGAGAGTCTATTTATGACAAAAATTAGGGCCCCTAAGTTTGCCCCCTGTTTTTTTGTTGATGAACTTTGTAGTTTTTAGATTTCACATTTAAATCTTTGATCCATCTGGAGTTTGTTTTTGTATATGGTGTGAGGTATGAATCTTGTTTCATTTTTCTGCAAATGGATATCCATTTTTGCCAGCACCAGGTTTTTTGTTTTGTTTTGTTTGTTTGTTTTTATTTTTGCAGTGTTTCTTTCTTGGTCAGCACCATTTGTGAAAGAGACTCTCTCTTCCTCATTTAATGGATTTTGGCCCTTAGTCAAAGATCAGCTGACTGTAGGTCTATGGATCGATTTCTCAGTTCTCAATTCTGTTCCACAACACTATGTCATTGTACCAGTAGCAGGCTGTTTTGACAAATGTGGCTGTGTAGTAGGTTTTAAGATCCAGAAGTATGAGACCTCCTACTTTGTCCTTCTTCAGTAGTGCTTTGGTTATCTGAGGTCTCTTTCCTTTCCATATAAGTGATTGGTTTTTCCATGTCTTTAAAGAATGCTGATGGAATGTGGATCAGGATTGCATTGAATGTATAGATTGTTTGGGTAGTATTGACATTTTCATAATGTTCATTCTTCCTCTCCGTGAACATGGTATATTCTTCCATTTATCTAGATCTTGTATAGTTTCTTAGGAGCTCTGGTGGCATAGTGCCTAAGGCATTTGACTACTAACCAGAAGGCTGGTGGTTCAAACCCACGAGCCGTACCTCAGAAAGAAGGTTAGGCAATCTATTTCCGTAGTGATACCGCCTCGGAAACCCAAGAAGAGGTCACTATGAGTCGGATCCAACTCAATGGCAGTATAGTTTCTTAAAGTAGTGTTTTCTAATTTTCTTTGTATAGATCTTTTGTGTTCCTGGTAAGATTTATTCTCGTAAAGTTCTTATTTTTTCTTCATAAACAATAAATATCTGGCACATGGTAGGCACTCAGTGTACTTTTTTAATGAATGAATATTCATTGCCATTATTACGATTAAAAACTACAAATAAACCAAAAGAAGAAACTAAGGCACTTTAATCTCAACACACAAAGCTAACCACTGAAAATAGGAGATAACTAGCCAACTCCTCCCTCTAGTCCCCCGATTCTTCCATTGGGGAGGACTTCCCCTCAGGGGTTGTGACCACAAAGCAGCCTTGCTTGTGAAGCTAGCTCACAGAGACCTAGGAATACTGACAGAAGGCTTGTCAGGAAAATCCTTTTAGAAATGCACTTGGCTGCTGTGAAATTACTCTCTTCAGTGAACACAGTTCGGATTTTAAATGATATACTTTAACAAAATTTCGATTTCTAGTGTTGAGATTAAATTTTCTCTTCTTCCTTGTAAAGAGGGTTACAGTGCCCATGTTTTGTATTCATAAAACCAAAAACCAACCAAACTCACTGCCCTCAAGTCGAATCCGACTCATAGTGTCCCCTCCTTGCGTTTCCAAGGCAGTATTGGGTATTGGTTAGATTGCCCAACTTTCCTTCTGAGGAGTGGCTGGTGGGTTTGAACCAGCAGCCTTCTGGTTAGCAGTCAAATGCCTTAGGCACTACACCACCAGAGCTCCCTTTGTACTCATAGAATTTAGACATAATCACAATGCAACCTTTTCTATAGACTTTATTTTTAGAAAGGTCTTGTGAATTGATACAGAAGCAGTGTGGTAGAATGGGAAGAGTAATGGATGGGGAGTCTGCAGTGTTCAATGTAGTTCTGACTTTAATCAGAGATGCTAAACTAGAGATTGTATTTAATCACTTTGGATCTCAGCTTCTACATTGAGAAAACAAGGAATTGCATTAGTCAGTCTTTCAGGCTTATTATTGTAGCCTGAGGCCATAAACCTCAATTTCCTTGTGCCTTCTCCTTCCTTTTCTGGGTTGCTCCTTTTCTTTTAGTGGATAATTTTCTAAGATTCCAGCAACTAGGGAAAGGAAACAGCAGACTAGAATTTGCCCAGCTGTGTGCTTTGACCAGAACAGCTATTTCTAGTCAGGATTTCAGAACACTTGAAAACTCTGGTGATATGATGGTTACATTCTTTCTTAGACTAAGATTACAGCCTACATGCATTTAGTGATATGCGTATGTATTATAATTTGTAAACATGTCTCAGAACCCTGTATCAGAGTTGGGTCCTTTGTGGTCAGCCATTCAAACCTCATTTCTGACAGGGGTTTAAGATTGCTTTGTGGAACAGATATTTAACCTTCAAGAGATCTATTAGTGTAAAATCTTTAGCCTTATTTTAAATGAGCTGCCCTTTAAGTAGAAAACCAAATAGAAAATTGGGTTTCCAACCCAAACTTAGCAGAATCAGTGTAACTTAAATTTTATCTTCACATGTGTTCATTCAATTCATTTTTCCCTTGAATATTAATTTCAAATAACAGTAGCTATGTGAATGAAATGTTCTTAGTTACTCTTGATAATGCCGCTGCTTAGCAGCAAAAACAGTAGACGTCTTAGTGTGTTCAGAGGAGGAACACCTATTAGTAAGCTGAGCTAAAATGGGCTTTAGTAAGTTAATTGTATTTCTTAAGAAAATTGTAAACATATGTAGAAAGAATAACATCTCCTATCACTTTATTTCCAGGCCATTAAAATAAATATTCTGTGGAAATAAGTGTTCACTAGGCCATTAATTACAATGTAAATTGTAACTCCAAGAGATTACTTTGTTGGGTACTGGGTTGGAGTAGGGGAGTGTGAATTGATTAGAAGCTAAAAAGGTAAATAGCTAAGTTGTGCTTTAGATGGTAGTTTTATATACCATTCGAATTCTTCCTGATAATATTGTAGCAGCCTCCCTTCACTCCTGGGGTCCCGATTGTCACAGCTCTATTAGGGAGTTTTTCCTATTTAACAAATATACCGGTGTCAGTTTTGCAACCCAGGTTTTCATCCTCTTCATTCTTATGTTCTAG